AATAGGTATACCATATTATACTTCTGAATATTTGTTGGAAGAAAACAAGAGCAGATATATGCAGCCCTATGTTCACAGCAGCATTATTTTTCGATAGCTATCATCGCATTCTTAATTTGATGTTTCTAAAATACTTAAGTACAGCTGAAACCGGTTTGGCTCAGTGGATAGTTTCGGCCTGCGGACTGAAAGGTCCCAGGTTCGATTCCGGTCAAGGGCATGTACCTTGGTTGTGGGCACATCCCCGGTAGGGGGTGTACAGGAGGCAGCTGGTCAATGTTTCTCTCTCATTAATGTTTATAGCTCTCTATCCCTCTCCGATATTTTATAAATATATTTTTTATTGATTTTTTACAGAGAGGAGGAAGGGAGAGAGAGAGAGAGAGCTAGAAACATCGATGAGAGAGAAACATTGACCAGCTGCCTCTTGCACACCCCCTACCGGGGATGTGCCCGCAACCAAGGTACATGCCCTTGACCGGAATCGAACCTGGGACCTTTCAGTCGGCAGACAAGACGCTCTACCACTGAGACAAACCGGTTTCGGCAATAAAATATTTTTAAAAAAAATACTTAAGTGCAATCAAAACTATTTAAATCTCATTTTATCTCGACACTTGGATGGAGACACACACACACACAAACACAAAACTTACTGTTTGAGCCACGGATGCCTAACTTATCCTCAGGCTTCCCATTAGTGACTCCACCAAAATCTCTCTCTACTATAAATGCTGTCATTTTGTCTTTTACTGAGCCATCGGAATCAACAACATTGGTCTTAGCAAACACGGTAAAAATATTGGCAAGTCCTCCATTGGTGATCCAGACCTGAAGGAAAAAAAGCAAAAGAAATTTGGAGAAAAACAAACTATCATGAGCCATCTCCAAACCCCATCTCTGCCACAAGACACACCAGCTGCCCTGAACTTCAGGCTACAGGATACCTGTCCCAACTCCTCAGGCTAGACTAAAACCTTGGGGAATCCAGTCTTTCCAGAGCAAGGATTTTGCCAAGAGACACAAGTGGCTATGAGTGTGAGAGTGTGTGTGTTGGGCGGGTGTAGAAGAACGGTACAAAGCCAATGGTATGAAGATAGTCCAAGTTCTAGCACTAAACAAATGGGTTTCCTCAAGAAAGAGGAATAGGGACAGAAAGGAGCAAGGAAATGGGGTGGAAGAAATAGGAGAGGAAGGGAGAGGTAAATATAGAGACTTCTCAACACAATGTATGGAACCTATTTGGATCTTAATCAAACAAATGGTTTGAAAAATAAAAAGGTAATCACAGAAATAGCCATAGAAATTTTAATGATAACTACATAGTAAGAAATTATAAACTTTTAAAATTGTGATAATGGTATTATAATTTTTTTTTTTTTTTTTTTAATTCCTGCCTTTTAGCTGAAATAGTATGGATGCAATCCAGAGGTGGCAATGCTGACAGAGAAACAGGACTGGCTAAAAAGAAATAATTGCTGAAGATGGTAAGGGTACATAGAAGTTCACTGTACTGAACTGACAAAAACAAACAACCGCCGAAATTGGTTTGGTTCAGTGAATGGAGAGTCGGCCTGCGGACTGAAAGGTCCTGGGTTCGATTCTGGTCAAGGGCATGTACCTTGGTTGCGGGCACATCCCCAGTAGAGGGTGTGCAGGAGGCAGCTGGTCGATGTTTCTCTCTCATTGATATTTCTAACTCTCTGTCCCTCTGTCTTCCTCTCTGTAAAAAAATCAATAAAATATATTTAAAATAAAAGAACAAACAAACAAACAACAACTAAACTCCTATGAGGGCACAACAACTATAGTCATCTAAACTCCTATGAGGATGAGTGCTGGGCACTCAGGTGGAGAGAAGCAAGATGAAGTTCAATCCAAGTAGACTTGCCATCACAAATCCTGGGTCCTATGCCAGCCTTGTTAGATCCTAGCTGTATGACCTTGGGCTTATAAAAAAAAGAAGAAAGAAAAAAAACAGTAGATCAGGGAAGTAGTTGGTACTATGGAAGCATGTAGACTGTAGAGTCAGAACTCCTTGGCTCCAATCCTGGCTCTGCCACTAAGCATAGGATGTCTGATGAAGCTCTTTGAGCCCCAGTATCTTCTTCCAAAAATAGAAAGTAGCATCCACCTAAGAGGTGATGGTCAAAAGATTATGTGTAGGCCCTTTGCAGTCCCCGGTGCATAGAAAATAGTGAGTGGTAGTGAAGGTTATGACTGAGACCCCGGTGAAGCCACAGAGCTGTACCTTCGAGCCGTTCAAGATATAATGTTTCTTATCTTCACTTAGAGAGGCTCTAGTCCGGATGGAGGCAGCATCGCTCCCACTGTAGGGACAGAAACAGGCTGTTGAGGAAAGTAATGCTGGAAATCAGTAAGAATGGTTTGGAAGGCCCCAAAATAAAGGTTTTACTTTAATACAGGAGTTGGCAAATTTTTAAAATACAGGGCCAGATTATAAATACATTAAGCTTTTCAGGCTACAGGATACCTGTCCCAACTCCTCAATTCTGCAACTGTGGCATAAAGGTAGCCAAAGACAATTTGTAAACGAGCAGACATGTTCCAGTAACACTTTGCTTACAAGGACATGTACCTGGGTGGCAGGTTCGATACCCGGCCCTAGTCAGGAGGCAACCAATAGATGTGTCTGCTTCACATCAATGTTTCACTATCTCTCTTATCCTCTCTCCTCCTCCTTCATTCCTTCCCACTCTAAAATTCAATGGAAAAAATATCCTTGGATGAGGATTTACAAGAAAAACAGGTGGCTAACTCCTATTTTTTCACTTCAGATAAGAAAGTAGCAGTGAAAAATAGTGGGCTTAGGTTTAAACATGAAAATGTGTGCTCAAAAATACTCATCTAAACTTCTATGAGGATGAATGCTGGGCACTCAGGTGGAGAGAAGCAAGATGAAGTTCAGTCCAAGTAGACTTGCCATCACAAATCCTGGGTCCTATGCCAGCCTTGTTAGATCCTAGCTGTATGACCTTGGGCTTATCATAAACCTCACTGAACCTCAGTTCCTAATCTGCAAAACAGGGACATTACCACCCAACTTCCATACTCTGACAATTGCTATGAAGCCTTGAAAGCAGGTGTTGCAAACGACAAAATAATTATTTAACAAGTGCTATTAGATATGTTAGCTCATTTATAACTCTCACTGGGAGAGAAAAATAAGGCAAGAAAATTGGCAAGAGCCAAAACCGGTTTGGCTCAATGGATAGAGCGTCGGCTTGGGGACTGAAGGGTCCCTGGTTCGATTCCGGTCAAGGGCATGTACCTTGGTTGCGGGCATATCCCCAGTAGGGGGTGTGCAAGAGGCAGCTGATCGATGACTCTCTATCATCGATGTTTCTAACTACCTCTCTCCCTTCCTTTCTGTACAAAATCAATAAAAATTATTAAAATATATATATAAAAAAAAGAAAAAAAGAAAAAGAAAACTGGCAAGAAACGTTACTGAGTTGACTCTTGGAAAAATACAGAGAAAGAAGAATAAAAGTCACCATCTATTCAGCAAAAACCATAGCCTCCCTCCCAGTGCACCCTGGAAGATGCTGTTCCAGGGCAGCTCATGCCAAGCGGACCTGGCTGGCTCCGTCAGGCAGAAGGCAGCAATGTGTTCTCCTGATGCCAGTTTGGGCAGATATTTGGCCTTCTGCTCTTCACTGCCGGCCAAGATGATCCCCTAAACAAGACACACAGGCTGATTTCAGCTTTGGAGAGAGAAGGCTGTAGAACAGGTAATCCTTATTCATGCAGAAGGAAACCCCGAGTCAGGTAAAAAGTGGAAATCCAGACTGCAAAGGACCTACCCTAAAGTGCACACTCCAGAGGGGCTTGGGCCTGAGGCCCAGCAGAGCTTTGGGGTCAGATTCAGGGAATTTCATTATAGCCCTTGTGTCCTGGCTGGGTGATCTTCAGTAAGGGATGTCCCCTCTCTAGCTCCCATCTCCTCACCCACACCTAGGGGATAATTCTACCCACTGGAGGGAAGATTTGGATAAAAAAATGTGAAGAGGTGGGCATGCCAGAGCCATACCTGGCATAAAGTCAATATCAGAACTGTCCCACCCCCTTTTTGGCGCTGAGTGTGCATATCCACTCTTCCCACTGAGAGACTGCATATAGCACACACGACCTCAGAGTGAGGGAGCCAAACAGGCTGTGCACTCAGCTCACTGTGGTATCTAGATTGAGCAAAACAACCAAAGTAATTGGATTGTTGATAAGAGTGATGTGACCTTGGACCTGCCATAAAATGTTCTGAGCCCAGTGGGGTGAGGAAGACCAACAGCAGGGAGGACCTGTTCAGACCCCAAGTGAGTGCTCAAGAGCTCAGTGGGGAGGTTCACGTCCAGTCTGAGGTGAAGACAGGCTCTGCGAGGTAGCAGCATCACAACCGGCTGCCAAAGGGCAGGTCACAGGCAATGGGGATAGGAGAAAGATTCAAAGGAAAGGAACAGTGCAAAGAGTCACTGCATGTGCAGGGCTGAGCACTATCCAACAGGGCTGAGAGTGGGTGTGCACAAATGAGACACTGCAGGGCGAGGATGCAGGTGCAGGCTAAGCCCTCCTCCCAGATATTGAGACAGCAAGCACGATTCACTTCCTGAAGGTCTTCTGGAGTCACAGAAAGCATCCCCAGATACTTGACCTTGAGGCCAATGGCCTGGTGTGCTGCCAGGGTCACAGCAATTGACCCATCCAGGCTGACAATCTCCCCTAGCCTTGCATACATGGTGTTGGAGAGGCCCAGGCCGCCTAGAGGAGAAACAGATCAGTTTTACTTATGGTCCAGCCCTAAAACCCTCCCAATTAAAGGCAAATGGCTTTATTGGTCTTTTCTGATTATAAAAGAACTAGAGGCCAGGTGCATGAAAATTCATGCATTAGAGGGGGGGTCCCTCAGCCCTGCCTGGCCCCTCTCATAGTCCAGGAGCCCTCAGGGGTAGGAGGCAACCCAGCAATCAGGGGAATGTGACACCCCCATCACACCTCTGTTGCTGCCACTACCAGCAGTGCTAGCCTCAGCCAGCCCTGGTTACCTGAGCCTCAGGTGGCCACTAAGTGGTTGGACAGCCACCATCCAAGGCTCACCTGCGCCTTGGGCCAGCCCTGGGTGGCTGGGGGGCTGAGGGAGCATCCAGCCACACCGTGCACCTGCCACCCCCTGGCTGGGCTGAGGGGACTGGGTGCCACCATTTTGTGATGGCATAAAAGTCAGTTTGCATATTCCCTCTTTATTAGATAGGATGGCATATCACCATTTAAAAAAAAATCACAATACAGAAAGGTGCAAAGAAAACAAAAGTCACCTATAAACATCACTCAACATTTTTGTGTATATCCTGTCAGACTTTTTCTAGGCATATAAGCATATATAAATTTATTTTTAACATAGAAGAATAATTTATATTACAAAAATATAAAAATACTAGAGGCCTGGTGCATGAAAATTTATGCACTGGAGGGGGTTCCCTCAGCCCAGCCTGCCCCCCCACTCACAGTCTGGGAGCCCTCAGGGACGGGAGGCGACCCGGTGATCAGGGGATGGCGAGGCCCCCATCATACCTCTGCTGCTGCCACTGCCGGCAGCACAAGTCTCAGCCAGCCCTGGTTGCTTGAGCCTAAGGCAGCCCTGGGCAGCTGCACAGCCTCCATCTGAGGCTTGCCTGCACCTCAAGCTGGCCCTAGGTGGCTGGGGGGCTGAAGGGACTGGGGGATTCTAGAGGCAGGTATGTGGAACAGTTGGACCTGCCTGGGGGTGAGCCTGGCCATGCTGTGCACCTGCCGCTTCGGCAGGGCTGAGGGGGCTGGATGCTGCCATCTTGTGGCTGTGGGTGCTGCTATATTTGATGGTGTGACAGTCAGCATATTCCCTCCTTATTGGTTGTGGGCACTGTCATCTTTGTGATGGAGTGATGGTCAATTAGCATATTCCCTCTTTATTAGTTAGAATCCTTACATTACATCATCTAATATGTTGTGAATATTTCCTGTCAGATATAGATCTTGGTGATTGAAAGAGCTTTCCAGCACCTCATTCCAGGGTCCAGTGGACTCCAGGACAGAGATTATTCTGCATGGTAATATTAACATTTTAGGATGGATCATTCTTTGTTGCAGGGACTGTCCTGTGCACTGTAGGATGTTTAACAACATTTTTGGCCTCCACCCACTAGATGCCAGAAGTCCCCTCCCTACAATTTAAAAACCAAAAATTCTCTAGACATTATCCAATGTCTCCTGAAGGACAAAATCACCTAGTTGGGAATCATTATTCTGCAGTAAAAAGACAAAGATTAAAAAACAAAAACTTCACTGAACTTACATATTTGGCATTTCATCTTCAACTTCCACAGGTGGCTGGGTTACCACATGTGCATCTTACAAATGAAAACTGAGGCCTAAGGTCATGTGCCCAAAACATAGGAGGGCTGAGGCACTGTCACTGGAGCCACTATTCACACACAAAGGGAGGACTGAGTTCCTGCAGAGATGTGGACTGGCCCTGTCTGGTGTGTAGTCCATGGGTTCAATGGAGGCACCCGAAAGGCCAAACCTCTGCAGTACCACTTCCCCCCTTTCCACTTGTTTCAATCAAAACACTTTTACTTATTTCATACTAGAGGCCCAGTCCCTCAACCCGGTCTGCACCCTCTACTATCTGGGACCCCTTGGGGGATGTCCAAACCAGCAGTCAGACATCCCTCTCACAATCTGGGACCACTGCCTCCTAACCACTCATCTGCCTGTCTGCCTGATTGCCCTTAACTGCTTCTGCCTGTCTGCCAGATTGTCCCTAATGGATTTTGCCTGACAGCCTGATCACCCCCTACCTGCTCCCCTGCTGAACTGATCACCCCCTACTGCCCTCCCCTGCCAGCCCGATCGCCCCCAACTGCCTTCCCCTGCCAACCCAATCACCCCAAACTGCCCTCCCCTGCAGGCCTGGTTGCCCCCCCCCCCCCCACTGCCCTGCTGGTCTGATCGCCCCCAACCACTCTTCCCTACAGGCCTAATCACCCGCAACTTCCCTCCTCTGTCACGACTGACTCCTCTACGTGAGATGGTGGAGATACTGGGATTGGCCTCTTCCATGCCACACAGAGCTGAGGGACCCCAGGCCTCACTGTGCAGAGCAGCCATCGGGCCCCACCTCCACTGTACATTCAGCTATCTTGTGATGGCCATCTTGTGGTGGCCTTTTTGTGATGACATTACACAAGGGCATGATGCCACATAGGCCTTTATTATATAGGAATAGAGGCACAGAAGTGGGCTGGGGAGGTGTCCCTCAGCTCAGCCTGCACTCTCTCCAATCTGAGACCCCTCAAGGGATGTCTGACTGCCCATTTAGGCCTGATCCCACTAGGCCTAAATCCCTCTCACAATCCAGGACTGCTGGCTCCCAACTGCTCACCTGCCTGCCTTCCTGATTGCCCCTAACTGCTTCTTCCTGCCAGCATGATCACCCCCTACCACTTCCATACCAGCCTGTTTGCCCCCAACTTCCCTCCTCTGCTGGCCTGGACACCCCTAACTGCCCTCCCCTGCAGGGTTGATTGCCTCCAACTGCCCTCCCTTGAAGGCCTGGTCCCTCCCAACTCCCCTCCCCTGCAGAGTTGATCGCCTCCAACTGCCCTTCCCTGCTGGCCATTTTGTGGTGGCCATCTTGTGTCCACATGGGGGCAGGATCTTTGACCACATGGGGGCACCCATCTTGTATGTTGGAGTGATGGTCAATCTGCACATTACTCTTTTATTAGTTAGGATAGAGGCCTGGTGCACGGGTGGGGGTTAGCTGGTTTGCCCTAAAGGGTGTCCTGGATCAGGGTGGGGATTCTCTTGGGGCGTGGGACGGCCTGAGCGATGGTCCCTGTGGTGGTTTGCAAGCTGGTCATGCCCCCTGGCCACCCAAGTGGAGGCCCTGGTATCTGGAATTTGTTTACCTTCTACAATTGAAACTTTGTAGCCTGGAGTGGAGGCCTAGGCCAGCAAGGACAGGCGAAAAGCTTGGCTTCCTTCATTGCCAGGGAAACCTAAGCCTCTCTCTTGCTCCCTGTGGCTGTAGCCATCTTGGTTGGGTTTATTTGCATACTCGCTCTGATTGGCTTGTGGGTGTAGCGGAGTGATGGTTAATTTGCATATTACTCTTTTATTAGGTAGGATACTGAGGGAATCAGTTTTGTTAGTTAAAGAAATAAATTCCAATGCTCCCCTCCACCCCAGGAAAGTTATCACTAAAATAATGGGAATAGCAAGGGAGAGTGAGGGGGTATCTCCTTTACTTACCATATTCTTCTGGGACTTGCATCCCAAAAAGCCCCAGGCTCTTCAGTTTCTCCAATGTTTCTGTTGGGATTTTTCCCTCTTGGTCAATTTTTCGAGAGTCCACTGCCAAGAAGAAATATCTTGATTAAACAAAATATGTTTATAAAAATAAACAGGACAATTTTTTGTATAGTATACAATCCCAGTTTCAAAAACTTTAAAACTGGAAATTATCTAGTCACGGTCATTTAGCATGCTTTCAATTTTACCTAATTATATCAGACAGAACTGTATTTTAGAAAATTACCAATACCAGGTTATACTGTTTCTTAATCTGGGTGCTATTTACATGGCAATGGCTACACAACATTGTAAACATACTTAATACCACTGAATTGTATACTTAACAAGGATTAAAATGTAAGTTTTATGTTATGCATATTTTACCACATTAGAAAAAAAGAATAGCAAGGCATTTAAGGTTTATGATGAATGCAGAAATAAAATGTATGAAACAGCACTTAGGCCAGGAAAACAAAAATGTTGTAATGCTCTTACATGAGACATGAAGTGAAATGCTGGTAATATTGGTAAGACATGTACTATAAACTCTAAAGCAACCACTAAAAAACAAAAGGTATTACTAATAGCCGAAGCTGGTTTGGCTCAGTGGTGGAGCGTCGGTCTGCGGACTGAAAGGTCCCGGGTTCGATTTCGGTCAAGGGCATGTACCTTGGTTGCGGGCACATCCCCGGTAGGGGGTGTGCAAGAGGCAGCTGGTCGATGTTTCTCTCTCATCGATGTTTCTAGCTCTCTATCTCTCTCCCTTCCTCTCTGTAAAAAATCAATGAAATATGTTAAAAAAAAAAAAAAGGTATTACTAATAAACCAACAAGAGATAAGGTGGAATAAAAAACACACTATTAATACAAAAGAAGACAGAAAAAAAGAAAAAGAATAAGGGGAACAAAGAAGAGATGGGACAAATAAAAAAAATAGCGAGTTGATAGAGTTAAACCCAACTATATCAATAATAATCTATATTAATAAAAAGGTAATATGCTAATTAAACCGGACATCCTTCTGGATGTCCTTTCAGAAAAAGTCACAGTGGCAGGGATCAGGTCAGAGGTGGTTAGGGGCAACTAGGCCAGCAGGGAAGAGCACCGTATTTTCCGGCGTATAAGACGACCCCCTAATTTTACAGTTAAAACATAGGTTTAGGCCTATATTCGCTATATAAGACTACCCCCCACTTCAAAGAAAAGACTTACTTTGCCGTCAAGATCTGCAGGTTTTTGTGCAATTTTGGTCTTTTGCCCCCGATTTTCGGTTGACTTTTTTTCGTTTCAAAAGTCGTCTTATACGCCGGAAAATACGGCAGTTAGGGGTGATCAGTCCAGCAGGAGAGGATGGTTAGGGGTGATCAAACCAGCAGGGGAAAGGAGTTAGGGGAGATCAGACAGGCAGGCAGAGTGGTTAGGGGTGATCAGGCAGGCAGACTGATAAAGGGTTAGGAGCCAGGGGTTCTGGATTGGAGTGGGTGCAGGCCGGCCTGAGGGGAAATACCCCCCCCCCCCATGCACGAGTTTTGTGCACCAGGCTTCCAGTATTAAAATAATCATATATCAAAGATCAATGAAAAGGCACAGATTGGCCGAAACCAGTTTGGCTCAGTGGATAGAGCGTTGGTCTGTGGACTGAGTGGTCCCAGGTTTGATTCTGGTCAAGGGCATGTACATTGGTTGCGGGCACATCCCTGGTAAGGTGTGTGCAGGAGGCAGCTGGTTGATGTTTCTCTTTCATGGATGTTTCTAGCTCTCTATCCCTCTCCCTTCCTCTCTGTAAAAAATCAATAAAATATATATTTTTTTTAAAAAAAGAAAAAGAAAAGAAAAGGCACAGATTGTCAGACTGGATTTTAAAAGACAACATTCAACTATGTTGCCCTGTAACAGATCCACTTTATTTTTATTGTATACCTTTATTTCTAAATAATATCAAGTTTAAAGAAAAGTTGCAAAAATACTGTGTTTTCCCCAAAATAATACATCCTCCAAAAATAAGACCTAGCACATGGAAAGATAAGAAATCCCCTGAAAATAAGACCTAGCGCAACTTTGGGAGAAAAAATTAATATAAGACACTCTTATTTTCGGGGAAACAGGGTAGTATAGAGTTTCTGTATACTCTTGACCCAACTTCTCCTAACACAACCTTATAGAACTACAATAAATTACCAAAATTAGGACACTGACATTCATATACTATTATTTAGTAAATTACAGAATTAATTTAAGTTTCATCAATTTTTCTATTAACCTGTTAACCGGGGAGTTCCCTTTTTAATTACGCAACGTACAACGGGCGCATACTCTTTCATTAGGACGTGTCAGTATGTCACACCCAGTGGACGTAATTTTATATTATTATTTTTATTTATTTATACTTAATCAAAATAAATGAAATATATATTTTTTCATTTATTTATATATAAAGAACAAAGGAAAATACAAAATTACAAATAGAAAAGAATACCAACAAAAAAATGGAAACATCGAATTAAAAAATTACAAATTTTACAGACTATTATAAAGATTACAGCCGAAACCGATTTGGCTCAGCGGTAGAGCGTAGGTCTGCAGACTGAAAGGTCCCAGGTTCGATTCCAGCCAAGGGCATGTACATTGGTTGTAGGCACATCCCCGGTAGGGGGTGTGAAAAAGGCAGCTGGTCGATGTTTCTCTCTCATTGATGTTTCTAGCTCTCTATCTCTCTCCCTTCCTCTCTGTAAGAAAATCAATAAAATATATTTTTTTTAAAAAAAGATTACAAAAAATATATACCATCCCTCTCAGGGCGCAACATATATTTCAAGGACGTATTCATATGTCCTACCTGTTCCCGATAGTGTTTATGTTTGACGTATTTATAGGTCCTGCTCGGTTAACAGGTTAATGTCTTTTTCTGTTCTAGGATCCAATCCAGGATCCCACACTGTATTTAGTTGTTATGTCTCTTTAGAATCTTTCGGTCTGTGATGGTTCTTCTTCAGTCTTGTGTTTTATGACTTTGACATTTAAAGCACTATTCCTTTGTACAAATTTGGGTTTGCCTGTTTTCCAATGATTAGATCAATGTTATGTGTCTTGGGAAAGAAGACCACAGAGGTGATGTTCCCTTTTCAGTGTATTATATCAGAGGGTACAAGATATCACTAAGTCTTATAATTGGTGACACTAAGTTGACCACCTGTTTAAGGTGGTGCTTGCCAAAATTCTCTACATATAAAGTTACTTTCCCATCCAGTCAGCGTGGCTCAGTGGCTGAGCACTGACCTATGAACCAGGAATCACGGTTCAATTCCCGTTAAAGGACATATGCTAGGATTGGGGATTTAATCTGCAGTGTGGGGTGTGCAGGAGGGAGTCAATCAATGATTCTCTCTCATCACTGACTGTCCCACTCCTTTGTTCTCTAAAATCATAAAAATATATATTAAAAATATGTTATTCTCCCTTTGTAATCAACAAATATCACAGGGAGACCAGCCATTCTGACTCAGTGGTTGAGCATCAATGTATAAACGAGTAGGTCACAGTTCAATTCCTAGTCAGGGCATATACCTAGGTTGTGGGCTTCGTCCCCAGTGGGAGCATTTAGGAGTCAGCCAATCAATAATTTTTTCTGATCATTGATGTTTCTATTTCTCTCTCTCTCTCTCTCTCCCTTTCCCTTACCCTCTGAAATAAATAAAAATATATTTAATAAATGTCACAGGAGAACTACTTTGCAATTATATAAATAAATTGTCTCTCAAACTTTCACCCATTCGTGTTTTACTAAAGTGAGTGCTTCATGGTAATTTTTTGTTGTTGTTGTTGTTAATCCTCACCCAAGCATATTTTTCCATTGATTTATAGAGAGAGTAGAAGGGCAGGGGAGAGACAAAAAGAGAGAGAGACACCACTGACGGGTTGCCTCCTGCACAGACCTGAGCTGAGGCATGTGCCCTTAACCATAATCAAACCCAGGACCCTCTAGCCACTGTGCCAAACTGGCCAGGGCATTATGGTAATTTTGTATTCCAAAATTCCAGCTATTTTTATTAAGTAAGGAAGAAACCCACTTTGCATATAAAAACACATATCAGTCAAGAGGATGAAAAAAGACATATCATGCTAATACTAACCCAAAGACAGTTGTAGTTGCCATATTAACATCAGACAAGGCAGGTTTTTAAGCAAAGACTATTACCAGGGATAAGGCAGGTCATAATTATAAAGTGATCAACTCATCATCCTATATAATAAAGAGCTAATATGCAAATGATTGTCACACCTTCATATAATGGCTCAAATATTCAACATGGGGGAGAAAGGAATGGGGACCAGCCAGGCACAAATGAGTTTGTAAGAGAGGATTAGGGATCTGCCAGGCACAAATGAGCTTGAGAGAGAGAAATGGGGAGGAGCTAGGCTGTGGCGCAGGAGAGGGACAAGTTGCCTGCTCTGCGGTCTTGGGTGTGGAGCAGGTGACTTGTCCCAGGAGAGGGACAAGCTGAACGCCCCGCTGTCCCAGGTAGCAGTGACTGGGGCTATGGCCCAGGAAGGGGACAATTCGCACGCCCCATAGCCCCTGCAGTCCTGGGCGCCAGCAAGGTACAAGTTGCCCACCCTGGAGTCCCAGATGCCAGCACCTGCGCCTACAGCCCGAGAGAGGGACAAGCTGCCTGCCCCGCTGTCCCGGGCGCAGGCAGCTGCGGCCTGGGTGAAGACGCCTGCCCGCGATCCCCTGAAGCTGTGGCCGGCCCAGGTCCTGGGTGCCTGCAGCAGGCCAGAGGAGGGAATCCTGGGTCCTGGATGTGGGGTGAGGCAGAGGCAGTTAGTGGCAATCAGGCCAGCAGGAGAGCAGTTAAGAGCAATCAGGCAGGCAGGCAGGCAAGCGGTTAAAAGCCAGCAGTCCCAGATTCCGAGATGCAGTCAGACATCACCTGAAGGGTCCTGGATTAGAGAGAGTGCAGGCCAGGCCGAGGGATAACCCCTCCCATGCATGAATTTCATTACTGGGCTTCTAGTAAGGATATAACAATTCTGAATCTGTACATACCTAAAAACAGAGCT